AGTCTAATCAACTTAGTGAACCATTTATGTGTCCAGAGTGAGAGCAGCAGTGACAGAGTGAGCATCACTTGTCAACACTTTGAACTGGAGACGTCATCTAGGTGCTCTGAGGCGGCCTTCCTCGCTCTTCAAGACTCACAACACAACTTACACTGGTAAGAAAAACTTATAATAGTAACCTTTATTTCCACAAGTACATGATACAACATATGCAGACCATAGCTGACATCAATAATACACAGTATACAAAGTCCCTGGTTATACACAGCATTTCTAGCAACTTGGGTTAATTTCGTCCACCAGAATGTGGCCCACACCAGTCGGCTAACACTCAGGTACCTACTGCTAGGTGAACAGTGACAGCAGGTGTAAGGTAATTACACTCAGATACCTACTTACTGCTGCGTGAATAGTGACAGCAGATGTAAGGCAATTAGCACCAAAGTACCTACTTACTGCTAGGTGAACAGGGACAGGAGGTATCTTAAGGAAACACACCCAATATTTCCACCCGTACGGAGGATTGAACCACGGACCTCCGTGTGTGGTGCGAGTGCGCTACCAAGCCAGCTACGGGACACATAAATAACGCCTCATATAATACCATGTTAGCTCAGTTATCTTCGGAATTCCTGGGACATAGAAAGATAACGTAAAGTTGTACATAAATCTGATAGATCGTTATCGAACTGAGACCATACATAAACCTGCAGTAAAATCGGTTTAACGGGATTATCATGATGTGAATGCTAATTAACAGAAGCAAAATTGTTACTTACACATCAAGAAAACCCAGGGTAGGTAAGCCAGGCTTATCCCAGATATGACTCAGTGAAGGTAGGCCAGGATTATCCAAGATATGACCAGAGTAGGAGGTAAGCCAGGCTTATCTCAGATATGAGGCAGCGTAGGTAAGCCAGGATTATTCTAGATATGACCCAGTGTCGGTAAGCCAGGATGATCACAGAGATGACCCAGTGTAGGTAAGCCAGGATTGTCACAGATATGACCCAGTGTAGGTAAGCCAGGTTTATCACAGATATGACCCAGTGTAGGTAAGCCAGGATTATCACAGATATGACCCAGTGTAGGTAAGCCAGGATTATCCCAGATATGACTCGTGAATGCAAGCCAGGCTTATCAAAGATATGACCCAGTGTAGGTAAGCCAGGATTGTCCCAGATAGGACCAGTGTAGGTAAGCCAGGATTATCCTAGACATGACCCAGTGAAGGGAAGCCAGGCTTATCCCAGATATCACCCAGTGTAGGTAAACCAGGATTGTCAAAGATATGACCCAGTGTTGGTAAGCCAGGATGATCACAGAGATGATCCAGTGTAGGTAAGCCAGGATTGTCACAGATATGACCCAGTGTTGGTAAGCCAGGATTATCACAGATATGACCCAGTGTAGGTAAACCAGGATTATCCCAGATTTGACCAGTGTAGGTAAGCCAGGCTTATCAGAGATATGACCAGAGAAGGAGGTAAGCCAGGCTTATCTCAGATATGACGCAGCGTAGGTAAGCCAGGATTGTCACAGATATGACCCAGTGTAGGTAAGCCAGGATTATCCCAGATATGATTCGTGAATGCAAGCCAGGCTTATCAAAGATATGACCCAGTGTAGGTAAGCCAGGATTGTCACAGATATGACCCAGTGTAGGTAAGCCAGGATTATCCCAGATATGATTCGTGAATGCAAGCCAGGCTTATCAAAGATATGACCCAGTGTCGGTAAGCCAGGATGATCACATAGATGACCCAGTGTAGGTAACCCAGGATTGTCACAGATATGACCCAGTGTAGGTAAGCCAGGATTATCACAGATATGACCATGTGTAAGTAAGCCAGGATTATCCCAGATTTGACCAGTGTAGGCAAGCCAGGCTTATCAGAGATATGACCCAGTGTAGGTAAGCCAGGATTGTCCCAGGTAGGACCAGTGTAGGTAAGCCAGGATTATAATAGATATGACCCAGTGTAGGGAAGCCAGGCTTATCCCAGATATGACTCAGTAAAGGTAAGCCAGGCTTACCCCAGTTATGACCAGTGTAGGCAAGCCAGGCTTATAACAGATATGACCCAGTGAAGGTAAGCCACGATTATCCCAGGTATAACCCAGTGTAGGTAAACCATGCTTATCCCAGATATAACCCAGTGTGGGTAAGCCAGGATTATCCCAGATATGATCCAGTGTAGAAAAGCCAGGATTAACCCAGATATGACCCCGGTGTAGGTATGCCAGGCTTATCCCAGATATATGATGCAGTGTAGGTAAGCCTGGCTTATCCCAGATATGACCCAGTGTAGGTAAGCCACGCGTATCCTAGATATAACCTAGTGTAGGTAAGCCAGGATTATCTCAGATATGACCCAGTGTAGGTAAGCCACGCGTATCCTAGATATAACCTAGTGTAGGTAAGCCAGGATTATCTGAGATATGACCCAGTGTAGGTAAGCCACGCGTATCCTAGATATAACCTAGTGTAGGTAAGCCAGGATTATCTCAAATATGACCCAGTTTAGGTAGGCCAGGATTATCCAAGATATGACCTAGTGTAGGTATGCCAGGATTATCCCAGATATGACCCATTGAAGGTAAGCCAGGCTTATCCCAGATATGACCCAGTGAAGGTAATCCAGAATTATCCCAGATATGACCCAGTGAAGGTAGGCAAGGCTTATCCCAGATATTACCCAGTGTAGGTAAGCGATGTGACCCAGAGTAGGTAATCCAGGCTTATCCCAGATATAACCCCAGTGTAGGTAAACCAGGCTTTTCCCTTACATGACCCATTGTAGGTAAGCCTGGATTACCCCCGATATGAACCAGCGTATTACTCTTTTCTTTCCTACTTAAACACTGTTAAAATTCTCTTATAATCATACCTAATTTTCCCTTTTCTCTCAAACAACAAATAACAAACTAGTGTATGTTCCTAGTACACTACTGTGCAGTACCTTGAACCTTCCCTCACTAGCTAGTGTCAACTACCTCAAATAATATTCCTATAGTGATATTAATTGCTCAAACTTTATGCTATAAGGCAACTCCTACTCTCAGATTATTATCATATCTTAGTGACTATATTGTGTGTGCAATTAGTGTATATTTCAGCTACATTATTGTTCAAGGCCCAAAACTATCTTTTGCTGCTACTACCAACTACCTCATATTATTTTTTACTCTTTATAGTACAATAAATTGCTCAACTTATTATATATAACAAATCAGATCTTACTCCCAAATCAACATCATATCTTAGTTACTATCTGCCAGTTTAACTTTGTTTACCAGTATTTAATTTAGTCCCTATATATTTTCTCCTTTATTTTAGCTTTAATATAGCTTTACATAACAATCTTAGTTCATATATTCACAATTGTTAAAATAATCAAAGTGCTATTCTCAGGTGCTAAAGTGTAATAAGTTCACTATTTTCCCATTATGTTCCCTTTATATTGTCTCCTTTATTTTAGCTTTAAAAAACTTCCTTAGCTCATATTTTTTACATTTGTTAAAATAACTCAGGTGCTATTTTATAGCTTTAGAATATTTATTTTGTCTTATACTTAATTCTAACTATAGATTCACTATAAATCTTATGATAACAAGCATTGATCCTGATACCAACCTCTTATTGGATGACTTAAATGAATCACACAGTAACTGTAATTACTACACAGCAGAACAATCAAAGGCACTTCTCAGAGCCAACAACAACATAACTGTCTTTAACTACACTATCAGATCTTTAAGTAAACATTACGATGACCTCATAGCATTACTAAATTCCCTGCATGCCAGTATGTCCATCATTACTCTCACCGAAACCTAGCTAAAGCCTGATACTACAGATGTCTATGCCAATCATTGTAACACTTTTTAACAAATCCATTGAATTCTCTACCTTTCCTACAGTTCTCAAAATAGCAAGGGTCACCCTGATCCATAAAGGAGGAGACCACACAGACTTGAATAACTATAGGCCAATATCCAACTTACACCCTCTCTCTAAAATCTTCGAAAAATTAATTCAGAAGCGAATCTATTCCTACCTCATCTCCCACAACATACTCAACCCCTGTCAGTTTGGGTTCAGGCCTAATAAAAATACTAATGATGCTATTATACACATGCTAGAACACATATACACTGCAATAGAGAAAAAATAAGTCCCACTGGGGATCTTCATAGACTTACGTAAAGCTTTTGATACAGTTGACCATGACTTGCTCCATATAAAATTGTCGCACCATGGTATAAGAGGGCACTCCCTCAACTACCTCAAGTCTTACCTCAGCAACAGAACCCAATATGTGTACACAAACTGGGCAAACTCTTCAGCACAGCCAATTACAGTTGGTGTTCCACAGGGAAGTGTCCTAGGCCCTCTTCTCTTTCTCATATACATAAATGACCTACCAAATGCATCGCAACTACTCAAACCCACACTATTTGCAGATGACACTACATACGTCTTCTCTCACCCGAGCCCAGTCATGCTAGCCAATACTGTGAATACCGAATTACAGAAAATATCTACCTGGATGAGTACTAACAAACTTACTCTAAACACTGACCAAACCTACTTCATTCAGTTTGGTAACAGAGCTACAGACGTCCCTCTTAACATAATGATAAACGGATCACCTATCACAAAACTCACAGAGGGAAAATTCCTAGGAATCCACCTTGATAATAGACTCAAATTTCAAACACATATACAACAAATTTCCAAAAAAATTCCCAAGACCGTAGGCATACTATCGAAGATACGGTACTATGTTCCACAGTCAGCCCTCCCGGCCCTATACCACTCATTTATTTACCCCTATCTCACCTATGGAATTTGTGCATGGGGCTCAACAACAATAAACCATCTCAGACCACTAATTACCCAACAAAAGGCTGCAGTCAGAATGATAACAAATTCCCACTACAGGCAGCATACTCCACCAATATTCAAAACACTAAACCTACTCACCATACACAACATCCATACTTATTACTGCACCTACTACATTCATAGAACACTTAACTCTGATATAAACCCTCCCCTCAAACGTCTCATTACCAACCTCAACAGAACACATGATCATAACACAAGGCACAGATCACTCTTTGATGTTCCCAGTGTCCATCTCACGCTATGCAAAAACTCAATGCACATAAAAGGCCCTAAAATCTGGAATTCATTACCTGTGAATATAAAAGAAACACTGTCTGTTCATAAATTCAAGTCTCTTCTCTAAAATCACTTACTCACACACAATTAAATAAATACTGAAAAATTGTATCTCATAAATTGTATCTCGTAAATGTTTCTCATTATTGTATCTCATAAATGTCTAACCTGTGACTCAATCAAACTTTATTTTTTAATTACATTACCTAACAGAATACTCTATTCTACTGAATGTTCAGCAACACAGTAAATGACCACATGACCTGTCTTTGTAATACTCATTTGTGCTAAATTGTTATCTGTTTACAATAATGTTTTTACCACTGAATATATCATTGCTTAGTTAATCTTAAGTTAATTTTAAGCCTGCCCATAATGCTCTGCATACAAGGGGCTTTGGCATGTTGCACTGTAATAACTTTGTACCTCACTGTATCATGTTCAAATAAATAATTAAATAAATAAATAAATAAATCCCTGACATGACCCGGTGTAAGTAAGCCAGGATTATCACATATATGACTCATTTAGTTAATCCAGGATTATCACATATATGACTCATTTAGTTAATCCAGGATTATCCCAGATATGAGCATGTGTAGGTAAGCCATCATTATCCCAGATATGACCCAGGGTAGGAAAGCCAGGATTATCACATATATGACCATGTGTAGGTAAGCCAGAATTATCCCAGATATGACTCATTTAGTTAATCCAGGATTATCCCAGATATGAGCATGTGTAGGTAAGCCATCATTATCCCAGATATGACCCAGGGTAGGAAAGCCAGGATTATCACATATATGACCATGTGTAGGTAAGCCAGAATTATCCCAGATATGACTCATTTAGTTAATCCAGGATTATCCCAGATATGAGCATGTGTAGGTAAACCATCATTATCCCAGATATGACCCAGGGTAGGAAAGCCAGGATTATCACAGATATGATCTAGTGTAGGAAAGCCAGGCTTAACCCTGATATGAACCGGTGTAGGTATGCCAGGCTTTTCTCAGATATATGATCCAGTGTAGGCAAGTCAGGCTTATCATAGATATGACCTTGCGCGAGTAAGACAGGATTATCTCTGATATGACTCAGTGTGGGAAAACCAGGATTATCAAAGATATGACCCAGTGCAGGTAAGCCAGGCTTATCCCAGATATAACCCAGTGCAGGTAAGCCAGGTTTACCCCTGATATGACCCAGTATAGGTATAACGGTCTTATCCCGGATATGACAAGGTGTAGGTAAGCCAGTTTTATCCCAGATATGACCCAATGTAGTTAAGCCAGGATTATCCAAGATATGACCCAAAGAAGGTAAGACAGGATTGTCCCAGATATGACCCAGTGCAGGTAAGCCAGGATTATTCCAGAATTGATCCAGTATAAGAAAGCCAGGCTTAACCCAGATATGACCCGGCATAGGCATGCCAGACTTATCTCAGATACATGATGAAGTGAAGGAAAGCCAGCCTTATCCAAGATATGAAACAGAGTAGGTAAGCCATGCTCATCATAGATATGACCAAGTGTAGTTAAGCCAGGCTCATGCCAGATATAACCCAGTGTAGATAAGCCAGGTTTATCACAGATATGACTTTGTGCAAGTAAGACAGGATTATTTCGTATATGACCCAGTGTAAGTAAACCAGGCGTATCCCAGATATAACCCAGTGTAGGTAAGCCAGGATTATCCAAGATATAAACCAGTGCAGGTAAGCCAGGATTACCCCAGATATGGCCAAGTGTAGGTAAGCCAGGATTATCCCAGATATGACGCAGTGTAGTTAAGCCTGGATTTTCCCAGATATGACACAGTGAAGGAAAGCCAAGCTTATCCCAGATATGATCCAGTGTTGGTAAGCCAAGCTTATCCCAGACATGACCCTGTGTAGGTAAGCCAGAATTATGACATATATGTCCCAGTGTAGGTAGGGCAGGATTATCCAACAGATATAACCCAGCCTTAGTAATCCATATTTATTACAGATATGACCCAGTGTAGGTAAGCCACGATTATCCCAGATATGACCAGTGTAGGTAAGCCAGGCTTATCCCAGATGTGACCCAGCGTAGGTAAGCCAGGATTGTCCCAGGTATGAGTAGTGTAGGTAAGCAAGGATTATCCTAGATATGACCCAGTGTAGGGAAACCAGGGTTATCCCAGATACGACCCAGTGTTGGTAAGCCATGATTGACCCAGAAATGACCCAGTGTAGAGAAGCCAGGATTCTCTCAGATATGACGAGTGTAGGTAAGCCAGGCTTATCACAGATATGACCCAGTAAAAGTAAGCTAGGCTTTCCCCAGTTATGACTAGTGTAAATAAGACAGGCTTTTCCCAGATGTGACCCAATGTAGGAAAGCCAGGATTATCCCAGATATGAACCGGAGTAGGTAGCCCAGGCTTTTCCCAGATATGACCAATGTAGATAAGCCATGCTTATCCCAGGTATGAACCAGTGCAGGTAAGCCAAGATTGCCCCAGATATGGCCCAGTGTAGGTAAGCCGATCTTATCCCAGATATGACCCAGTGTAATTATACCAGGATTTTCCCAGATATGACCAAGTGAAGGAAAGACAGGCTTATCCCAGAAATGATCCAGTGTTGGTAAGCCAGGCTTATCCCATATATGACCCTGTGTAATTAAGCCAGAATTATCTCAGATATGTCCCAGTGTAGGTAAGCCACGATTATCCCAGATATGACCAGTGTAGGTAAGCCAGGCATATCACAGATATGACCCAGTAAAGGTAAGCTAGGCTTACCCCAGTTATGACCAGTGTAGGTAAGCCAGGCTTATCCCAGATATGACCCAGTGTAGGTAAGCCACGATTATCTAAGATAAGACCAGTGTAGATAAGCCAGACTTATCCCAGATATGACCAAGTGTAGGTAAGCCAGGATTATCGCAGATATGAACCAGTGTAGTTAACCAAGGCTTTTCTCAGATTTTGGCCAATGTAGATAAGCCATGGTTATCCCAGATATGACCCAGTGCAGGTACTGTGGTAATGTTGCGGGTACTCTGGTAATGTTGCTGGTACTTTTGGTAATGTTGCTGGTACTGTGGTAATGTTGCTGGTACTGTGGTAATGTTGCACGTACTGTGGTAATGTTGCTGGTACTCTGGTAATGCTGCTGGTACTGTGGTAATGTTGCTGGTACTGAGGTAATGTTGCACGTACTGTGGTAATGTTGCTGGTAATGTGGTAATGTTGCTGGTAGTGTGGTAATGTTGCTGGTACTATGGTAATGTTGCAGGTACTCTGGAAATGTTGCTGGTACTCTGGTAATGTTGCAGGTACTGTGGTAATACTGCTTGTACTGTGGTAATGTTGGAGGTCCTGTGGTAATGTTCCTGGTACTGTGGTAATGTTCCTGGTACTGTGGTAATGTTGCAGGTACTGTGGTAATGCTGCAGGTACTGTGGTAATGTTGCTGGTACTGTGGTAATGTTGAAGGTACTGTGGTAATATTGTTGGTACTGTGGTAATGTTGCAGATACTGTGGTAATGTTGTTGGTACTGTGGTAATGTTGCAGGTACTGTGGTAATGTGGGACCAGTGAACCTGGTATCTACCAGTGATTCCATCACTGTACACTTCTGGAGCAGCTGGAAGGTAAACAATACAAAAAGAGGATTCCACTGTATGGTGGCCAACAGCCTTGTTCTACAGCCTCGCATCATATGTCGTGAGTACTTCCTGTATAACTGGTACAGCCTGGCATCATATGTCGTGAGTACTTCCTGTATAACTGGTACAGCCTGGCATCACATGTCGTGAGTACTTCCTGTATAACTGGTACAGCCTGGCATCACATGTCGTGAGTACTTCCTGTATAACTGGTACAGCCTCGCATCATATGTCGTGAGTACTTCCTGTATAACTGGTACAGCCTGGCATCATATGTCGTGAGTACTTCCTGTATAACTGGTACAGCCTGGCATCATATGTCGTGAGTACTTCCTGTATAACTGGTACAGCCTCGCATCATATGTCGTGAGTACTTCCTGTATAACTGGTACAGCCTCGCATCATATGTCGTGAGTATACTTCCTGTATAACTGGTACAGCCTGGCATCACATGTCGTGAGTACTTCCTGTATAACTGGTACAGCCTCGCATCATATGTCGTGAGTACTTCCTGTATAACTGGTACAGCCTGGCATCACATGTCGTGAGTACTTCCTGTATAACTGGTACAGCCTGGCATCACATGTCGTGAGTACTTCCTGTATAACTGGTACAGCCTCGCATCATATGTCGTGAGTACTTCCTGTATAACTGTACAGCCTGGCATCACATGTCGTGATACTTCCTGTATAACTGGTACAAGCCTCGCATCATATGTCGTGAGTACATTCCTGTATAACTGGTACAGCCTGGCATCACAAGTCGTGAGTACTTCCTGTATAACTGGTACAGCACTGGCATCACATGTCGTGAGTACTTCCTGTATAACTGGTACAGCCTGGCATCATATGTCGTGAGTACTTCCTGTATAACTGGTACAGCCTGGCATCATATGTCGTGAGTACTTCCTGTATAACTGGTACAGCCTGGCATCATATGTCGTGAGTACTTCCTGTATAACTGGTACAGCCTGGCATCATATGTCGTGAGTACTTCCTGTATAACTGGTACAGCCTGGCATCACATGTCGTGAGTACAACAACATCAACAAACAACAACAACAACAACAACAACAACAACAACAACAACAACAACAACAACAACAACAACAACAACAACAACAACAACAACAACAACAACAACAACAACAACAACAACAACAACAACAACAACAACAACAACAACATCAACAACAACAAAAAACAACAACAACAACAACAACAACAACAACAACAACAACAACAACAACATCAACAACAACAACAACAACAACAACAACAACAACAACACACAACAACAACAACAACATCAACAACAACAACAACAACAACAACAACAACAACAACAACAACAACAACAACAACAACAACAACAACAACAACAACAACAACAAAACAATAATAATAATAATAATAATAATAATAATAATAATAATAATAATAACAATAATTAATAACAATATTAATATTATTATTATTATTATTATTATTATTATTATTATTATTATTACTTATTAGTTATTTTACTTTTATTATTATATATTTTTATTATTAATAAATGAAGTATTACCTGGAGAGAAGTGCCGCGGGGTCAAAGCCCCCCCCCCGGGCCCTTTTTTCATGTTAAAGGTATGACAGGACCTAGCTCCCCGATCAAAGTGACACAGTACTAAATTCGAAATAGCAAGCGTATTTCCCGTAATAATTAAGTTCAGCTGTTATATCCCAGGATGAGACCCACACACAGTCCACTAAAACCCAGATGTGACCCACACCAGTCCACTCTAACACCCAGGATGTGACATTCCAGTCCACTAACTCCCAGGGATTTGTACCCACACCAAGCCACTAACACCCAGGATCATGTGACCCACCCCCAAAATAAACCAGCCCACTAACACAACCAGGATGTGACATTACACCCAGTCCACTAAACCCAGGTGAGACCACACACCAACGCCCACCCCCACTAAACACAGGATGTCGACCCACACCAGTCCACTAACACCCAGGATGTGTCTACACAGTCCAATAACATACCAGGATGTGACCCACACAGCCAACTAACACCCAAGGATGTGAACCACACCAGCCCACTAACACAAGGTGTGACATACACCAGTCCCACTATCACCAGGATGTGACATACACCAGTCACACTAACAACCAGGATGTGACATACACCAGTCAAACTAACACCCAGGATAGTACCCCACTCCAGTCCACTATACCAGGATGTGTCATACACCAGGTCCACTAAAACACCTCAGGATGTGACAAAAACCAGTACACTTAACACCAGGATATGGACCCACACCAGCACTCTAACACCCAGGATGTGGACCCTCAACAGCCCTCTAAAACTCCAGGATGTGACCACACCGCCCACTACACCCAGGATGTGACCCACCACTCAGTCCACTAAACACCCTAGGAGTGTGAACATACACCAGTCCAATAAACACCCAGGATATGGTACCACCACAGCCCAATAACACCTGGATGTGACCCACACCAGTCCACTATAAACACACGGATGTGACCATCACCAGCACAATAACACCCAGGATGTGACCCACCTCCAGTCCAATTACACCCAAGGTTGTGACCCACACAGTCCCACTAACACCCTGGATGTGACCCACACACAGCCCACTTAACACCCAGGATCTGTGACCCACACATGCCCACTTACACCCAGGATGTGACCACACACCAGCCCACTAACACACAGGTTGTGAACCCAATACAGTCCCACTTAACCCAGGATGTCGACATTCACATACCTGTCCAATAAAACACCCAGGATGTGACCCAAACCAGCCCACTAACACCCAGGTTGTGAACCCACACCAGCCCTACTAAACACAGGATGTACCCACACCAGCCCACAACACCCAGGATGTGACCACACAAAAGTTACACTAAAACACCCAGGATTGACCACTCACCAGTCCACTAACACACAGGATGTGACCCACACCAAGCCCACTCAAACACACAGGACCATGTGACCCACACCAGCACCCCACTAACACCCAGGATGTTTACCCACACCAGTCCATTAACACCCTGGTGTGCCCCACACAGTCCACCTAATCACCCAGGATGAGACCACACACCAGTCACACTATCACCCAGGACGTGACCCACAACAACAGCCACTAACACCAGGATGTGACCCACACCATGCCCACTTACACACCCAGGATGTGGAACCACACCAGCCCACTAACCACCCAGGATGTTGACCCCACACCAGCCCACTAACACCATGGAATGTGGCCCACACAGTACACTACACCAGGATGTGACCCACACCAAGTCCACTAACACCCAGATGTGACCCACAACAGCCACTAACACCAGATGTGACCACACCAGCCCATAACACCAGGATGTGACCCACACCCCCACCCAGGTCAACTAACACCCCAGGATGTGACCCCACACCATGTCCCTAAACCACCCAGGGATGTGACCCACACCAGTCCATCTTTACCAACAGGATGTGACCACACCATGCCCACTAACACCCGGATGTGACCCAACCAGCCACTAAACTCAAGGGATGTGCCCACACACATCCGCCCATCACTAGTACCCCAAACACCACCCAGGATGTGACCCACCGTACTCCTAAACCAAGGATGTGACCACAACAAGTCCCTACACACACCTTGGATGTGACCCAACACCAGTCCACTAACACCCAGGATGTACCCACCCGTCCACTAAACACCAGGATGTGACCCACAACCATGGCCCACTAACACCCCAGGATGGGATGACCCACACCTGACCACACTAACACCAGGGATGTGACCCACACCCACGTACACTATACACCCAGGTTGTGAACCCACACCAGTCCATATAACCACCAAGGATGTGGACCCACACAAGCCCACTTAACCACTAACAAACAGGATGTGACCCACACCAGCCCACTTACCACAGGATGTGACCCACACCTGTCACTAACACCCAGGTTGTGACCCAACACCAGTCCACATAACACCAGGATGTGACCCACAACAGCCCACTAACACCCAGGATGTGACCCACTCCAGTCCACTAACACCCAGGATGTGAACCCACACCAGTCCACTAACACCCAGGATTGTGACCCACTCAGTACCAACATAACACCCAGGATGTGACCCACTCTCCAGCCCCACCTGAACTCAACCAGCGATGTGACCCAACACCTAGTCCACTAACACCAGGAATGTGAAACCACACCTAGTCCACTAACTCAAGGATGTGACATCACACCAGTCCACTAACAACACCAGGATGTGGACCACACACAGTCCACTAACACCAGGATGTGACCCACAACATCATAACTCCAAGGATGTGGACCCACACCAGTCCATAACATCCTGGATGTGTCCTCACCAGTCCAACTAACACCCAGGAATGTGACCCCTACACCAGATCCACTAACACCCAGGATGATGACCCAACCAATTCCACTACTCACCCAGGACTGATGAACCCACCAGTTTCAATTACACCAGGATGAGACCAACACCAGTCCACTAACACCCAGGATGTTGGACCCACACCAGTCACTAACACCCAGGATGTGACCCACCACAGTCAAATAACACCAGCGATGTGACCAAACAAGTCACTATCACCAGGCATTGGGACCCTCACCAGGTCCACAACACCCAGGATGTGACCCCACACCATGTCCACTAACACCCCAGATGTGGACCCAACAAGTGCACTAATCACCCAGGATGTGACCACACCAGTACACTAATCACCAGGATGTGACAAACACCAGTCCACCAACACCCAGGATGTGAACCACACATGTCACTACTAACACCCAGGGATGTGACACACCCCACACCAGTCCACTAACACCAGGATGTGACCCACACAGTCCACAACACCCAGGATGGTGTACTAACAAAACAGTCCACTCAACACCCAGGATGTGACCCCACACCAGTCCACAACACCAGGAGGTTGTCCCACACCAGTCCACTAACACCAGGTTGTGACCCACAACAGTCACTAACAACCAGGATGTGCATCC